GCATGAGAGAAGGAAATCAGATTTCACAGGACCCTTGAGTGGATTAATTCAATTTTTATTTGGATTCTGCCATAATTGGCTCCCATAGTATTTTCTTTTGTTCTGGTTGACAAGCTCATTGTCTCACTGGTCAGCTCATGATTATGTGAGTCTTCCCTTTGCCACTTTGAATGTTAGTAAAATGTGGTTAGTCTTCATTCCTCGAGAAAACCTGTAATTTTAGAAGTTATTTAAAAAGAGCAATAAGAACAACAAAAATAATTTCTTCATAATTTTTACGAGGGATCAACATGATCTACTAGTCAGAAATATTTATCTCTGTGCATATGCTGTTTTTACATTTTTAGCATTTATCAGTAAGCCTCTCATTTCATTAATCTCGTTTGCTGTGGCTTCCATTTCATGCAAAATGAAGATAAATATAACTTTTGGCCATTCTGCTTTTTGTTATTGTAATTTGATCAGTTTCATAAATGGTTCAGGTAGAACGCTTGGATTAGGTTTCTTTTATTTCCAATGTGTCATCCTTGACTTTTCAGACATTTTTCCTATAGATTCATGATTTAACCAAATAAATTTAGTATATAATAGTTTTATTTATATTGATTATCTCCTTTTGCCCTTAACATTTTTTTTAATTTTCTTTTCACTTGCTGACTTTACTATACTGCAAAACTAGAATTGCCTTTCACTCAGAACTTTACCATATTAATTGTGGAATTGTGGAATTTTGCTTAATAATTGACTCCTGCAGAATTTATACTTTACATTTTCAATCTTACCATTTTTTTCTCCCTGTGAATTGAATAAAATTTTCTTCTTTCATGTGAATTAGTTTTTTGAAAGAAGTGAACAGGAAGGAATCTTTTGTTAGTTTATTTCCAGGAGATTTGGCAGTTTGCCTGGTCATACCTTGAGTGTCTGAGTTTGATTCAACTCCCATTTATTGATTCAGGCTTTCAATTGCAAATGTATGTGGAGGGTTAGGATGGGTTACGGAGATTTTCTGCAATATTATGATATATATTTTGCCATATTTTTAAAGAAGGCTTAATCCTGAATCCATGTTATCCTGAACTGTGTGTGCCATCTTAATGTTCTTCTAATTCATGTCTATGTTTAATGCAAAGGTATTTATTGTTGTTCCATTCAGCTTTTATAGCTTACAGTTTCACAAAGAAAAGGGTAAAATGTAATGGTGACAACCATTATTAACATGATATACTTTTGAATCTTTATGTATTTTCAATTGTTTTTTTACTTGGACTTGTTCAGGAACATACAGAAGACTAGTTATATACTTTTAGCTGTAGTCATACTGAATGTATTCACTGCAGTAGATTGAAATATATTGTTGTGAAGGAGGTGACTGGAGCATGTTTTATATGTGCTTTCATTCAGTTCCCACTGATACCAGTGGAAGTGTTTACCCTTGGGTTTGAGCAGGCTCTTGACTAATAGGTTTCAATTATAACAGCTGAGCTAGAAGAGTTGTTCAGTGCTGTGAATGTAAAGGAGAATACTGTATCTCTGAAGGAGTAAAGGATGCTGGTTTATCTCAGTGTTATGTTTTCTTCTCATTAAGTGTCATTCTGTTTGCAGATTTATGTAACATATTTGCTTTCCTCATTCATTAAGCACCAAATAGAAACAATTTTGCCAATTACTGCCACTGTCAAATCTATTTAGTTCCAGTGTTGTATTTTTTTTAGTTCAAAAGCTGTTTTTTTCTTGCTTATTGCCACCATATTTTGAAAAGAGGCAGGGCTGTGTGTGAAGAGGTCATACCTGTGCTTCAGAAATGTAATTTCATTTTTCTTTCTCATTCTTTGTTGCCTTCAAAGTATATATTGCTCTGGAATAAAGCTGAACAGAGGTTGAAAAATGGCAGTCCAGGCATAATCTTAATAACACTTTGAAAAAATGTTGTCATCTGTCTTGTGAGGAGCATAATGTCTCTGCGCATGTCATGAAAATTGGGAATTACTTTTTCTTTGGACTGCCAGATTTACTAATACTACATTTGTGGGTTTATTTTTACTCTCGTCATATGCGATTTTTTTTACTGTCATGCTAATTTCTTTAATTTGTTTTTTACATTTTTTCATATATGTGCTTTCTGAATGAGTTCTCACATGCTAGAAATACATGCTTTAAAATGTTAAACTGTTGGATTTGTAAAACTAAATGTAGTCCTACAAGTTATACTGAAGTGAGCCATTTAGGTAGGAATGGCTCTTATTGCTCTCTGAGTGCTAGTTTGACACTTAGCCGAAGCCCAGGATTATTTATGTAGTCACAGTCAATCTATGCTGTCCATTTTTCCAGTTTATGTTGCTAAGGTGTTTTTATTGTCTCTTGCGCACAGCTTTTCTTGTTTAACTTTCTTTCTTCTGGCTTTACAAAGCTAAAAATATTTTAATTGGTTATTGGCAGCCACAGGAAATTGAAAAAATGTATACTAATTAGCTCTGCCTCTTGATCATTCACATGAATATAGACATTTTAGTCTCCCTAACACTTAGCGGGTCAATTTTTCTAATTTCACGCTGAATATATTGTGTAGAAGTGTTGTGCTCTACTGAATAGGATAAAAATCTAATTTTCTAGGAAGAAAAAGATAAGAGAATTGTTGAGTGTCTGTTTTTCTTCAGGCTGGCATTTATTAGTTTAGAATATTTACAGTTTGGGACAGTAGCTTACATTTTAATAGGTGGAAATTATGTCAGATTGGAAGATGATAAAAAGACATTAATTTGATAATCTGTCCTAAAAAGGCCTCATCAGGCATAAATTTACAGCAGATATCTGAAGATGAAGTATACATAGCAAATGAAATATGTATTAACTACTTCCCTGAAAACTAAATGTGTGAGACCAGACTGCTCACATATTCTGCAGCAGAGACTGCATTTATCTGTAGAGTGATATGGGACATTTATGTGCCATTCTTCTTAGTCTGATACCACTGAGTTAAGAAAGCAGTTTCTATGCTGCTGAAGATGCTGAAGAAAAAAACAAGGTTGTTTTGCTACACCAGTGAAGTTTGTTTCTTTGGTACTGGAGTGAAAGATGTACAATGATGGGTGATGGAAGCTTAAATTCACCGAGATGAGGAGCAGACCAAGTATTTGTGCTCCCTGCTGAATACTTCTGGGCAAGACATTGTGCAGAAGTGGAGGTATTTTCTGTCCTTACAGAGGAAGTGTAGAAGACTTTATAGAAAGACTATAATCATTGCTTCTTGGTGCTTTGATGAAAGTCTTTCAAGTCCACTTTCATGTAACTTGTTGGTGAAGCTTTGTGTGCACTTTGTTCTGCAAAGTACTCTTTTCTCTGTTTATCCACTTCAGGTCTCTCCATGACACAAACCCAAGTATTTTAGCTATTTCTTTGTGGTGATTTAGCAGTATAATAAAAAATATTCTGTCTTTATTTTATTTTCACATGAATTCTTGCCCTTTATAATCTGCCTCCTGCATTTTGAGTAACTCTTTTTGGCAGTACTCCTAGGAAAGACTAGTGATATGGTTCCTGCACAGTGCAATTTAAGTAGACCATATATATACCAGGGCCAATAAATAAATACGCATAGCTGTTTCTGAGAGTTCATAAATAAAGATAGCCATGATGGCCATGGTGGTTGTGTTTCTGAGTTAGACACAATTTATTTTTGTTTTTTCCCCTTCCCTGCTGTCTCATTAAAAAAAAAAAAAAAAAAAAATAGAGATGTAAACTATAGGTTCTGACCATCTGTGCCCATTAACAATACCTCATACCTCTTTGGAAAGAATAACAATTTTTATCTCAAAAAATTTGGCCTAATTTTAATTTTGATTACACACCTCTAAGCTACATGGATGTAATACTGCAGGTAATTCATAAATATTGCAAATTTTTAAAGTTCAAGTGTAAATTTACCCATCTCTTTGTCATCTGGGTTTTTTTGCTACTTTAATTGATTTTTAAAAAATCTTATAAATTACTGTTACATATTTGTTATGAATAAATTAAGATTGTTATGAATATATTAAGATTCAATCTTAATAAATGAAGATTGAAGTAATTTATATTATTATTGTAAAATCTTTTTTATTTTCATCTCTAAAACATAATCACTCTAGTAGCATTGGAGAATCAGAATTATTTTACATAAGGTAAAATACAGGCAGAAGAGGACTGGTGGGTGTTATATCTGTGAAGATGCAGTAGAAAGAAATGAATCATGAAAAGAAGAAAAAGAGGTGTGATAACAACTAAGAAAGAAAGAAAACAGTGGTGGGGGAGGAGTATGTTTTGCTTGTAGTTTGCCTGGGCTCCTCCCAAGGTAGGTCTGTAGGTGCTGCTGTAGAGAAAACGCAGAGTGAGAAATATTTTTGCAATAAATGCACAGGCTTTTGAAAACTGCTTGGTTGGTTTGCTTCTTCTGTCTGCAGGGGAAAAAAAAATCTTAGGCTTCAAAGAAATTAGACCACATAGGGCAAGACTTCTCTCAAAATTGTGAAAACTCAGGGATTTGTACTGATTCACCATCATACTGGGATCCTGTGCTTCAAACTTTACATATATGTGGCTGAGCTATGAGGTTCCGTTCTTTGTGGGGAGAAATGGAGAGCTTCAATCTGCCTGTCCATATATTCTGATGTAGGCATCCAATGCTGGTGACATGAATCTGCCAAAAGCACTGAGTATTCCTTCCCATTGATTCTAAAGGAAAACTGGAGCAATGAATCAGATGTACATATACCTACTGCATTCACGTTCAGCCAGTCCTTCAGACTGAAAATCTGTTTTAGAAATTAGCTTAGTCCTTATTGCAAAGGCATATATATTAAGACAGGCTCCGAAAGAATTTGAAGTCCTGAATAACTGTCACTTCTAAATTTTTTTCTGCCTTTGTAGTCATTAATCATGTTTTTATTTAAATAGTAGTAACATTTTGTTTTCTTACTTAAACATTAGTAATAATTCATTTTTACTTGCTATTTTTTTAATCCTAGAAACTACCTCTTCAGACTGAAGCTTGAAGATCTCTCTCTAATACAGGTATGTTTCATTTCTGTTTACATAGTTCCACTGCAAGATGTAGGTAACCAGATGTTTTAAAGCAGATAATCAAAATATTCAAAACCTTCATAGCTACATATAAATATGCATCTGTTTTTGTCCTTTTTTCGGCTCCTTATTATATAGGTCATATTATCCCTTTTAATTCCAGATTAGCCTTTGTCCCAGGCCATAGAGATCTGATGCTGCCTTGGTCTGCTGTGATTTTGTTAGAGTGGATTTTCATAGTCTTCATTAATACAATTTAAAATTAACTACCTTTAGAGTCAGTACTGTCCCTATTAATTAATGAAGTAATATTATACAGCTGAATATAGAAAAGTAAAATCATTTCAGGTAAGACTGACCTTGTGATTTGTAAAACAACTTTATATGCTTTAATTAAGCTTTCAGATTTTATCTGCCTTCCTAGACTACTAGAAAAAAGATCTCATGTTAACTTATATTTAATCAAAATTGCAATATTAATAAATATTAAATTTTGTTGCTAGTGTTTAAAGCTGTCACACAACAAGGACCTTTAATATACAGAATTTGGGCTGTTTGCTTTCATCTTGTATGCCATGTTTGATATCCTGACAAATAATTTAGGTCCTAAAGATTCTTTTTGAGAGGTTGCATTCAGAGGTCTCTGATGGTGCCACCATTGTAGTTTATGCTGCTAATTCATAGATCGAAGTTCATGACTTTCTTCTGTTAGGACATATATCAGTAGGCTGAATTCACTAAGGAGGGAGAAATCTGTAGGCTTAAGAAGTTTATAATTGTGCTGACCTCTTCTCACTTCAATCAGAAAAAAAATACAAACTGAGCCCAGAAATCATATCGGTGATGTTATAGTAGGTAACTGGGTTTCAGTCTTAGGCCTTTAAACAGTCTTCACCACTGGTTTACCTCTATATCTTCTAACATTCTTCAACAAATCTTTAGAGAATTTGTGTATTTAAATCAAAAGTGTTCTTTTTTTTCCACCAGCATGTCCTTACCATCCCTACATCCAGTATTAAATTTTCCCCTTATTTCCAAGCCCACCATTATGACTCCTTCATATTTTTCCTTCCCAGATCTTCTCTTTCTCTTCTTTCCCTCTACTACTACAGTTCTAACAGAACTTACAATTCTGTTAGAGTGCCTCAGGATAGCCATTATCCAAAAGATGTTTCCTTGGATATGCCAGTTTTGGCAGCTCCAAATCAGCTGTGAGGTGACTGAAGCCTTTGTTTTAATTTGTAGGATGAATTGTTTAGGATTTTGAAACTACTAAACAACATATTCAGGTCATGTCTTGTAATCTGGTTTTATGGTTGAAAGAGGCAGGAACAAAAGTAGGAAGCAAAGCAAAAGCTATATTAAATCCTTGCAGAACAGACTGATGGAATTTCAGGGAAGAAATAAAGCTTGCTGTGGTTTAACTCGTTGATACTCTGTGTGCTACTTTGCATTTGTTTGGCAAGGGACTGAACACTTCAGCGTTTCATGTATGGACAGAAGAAATTTTCTTTTAACATTTTCTTCACACAGTTTTTGTCATAGTAATAATGTAAAAAAAGATCTCATTTAATGCTTCTACTTATGTTGTTTGATTTTATTTTTTTTTTTTTGCATTAGCCAGTTTTTGTAAAAACATGCAGATGTTTCACAAGCTAATAAACAATGTTTTCACATCTTGAAGAAAAGGCACACAGTGAAGTGCTATCTATGAGAGGCTTTCAGCATAGCTCAATAACAAGAGAAAAAAGGGTAGAAACAAGACAATCTATATAGCTGTTATTTAATTATCTTACAAAATTCCTTAAGCTCTAGTTTTGCTATTGTGTGTGGGAATCAAAAGAAAAATTCTCTTGCATAGCAAATATTTTTAACATGGAAGCAAATTTGAACAATTTGCATCCTACTTTTCATGGTTTTCAATTAGAATTTTATAACTTTATTTCCTTTGCATTAACACTTTGATTTTTTTATTTTTTTTTAATAACTGATTCATCAGCTGAATCCTTCTTATTTTACTTTTCTCTCTGGAAAACCAGGGGAATGCCTCAAAGTAAATTTTGACCATTAACATACTTCAGTTATTTTTGTCTGTTTCCTCATCTGTCATGCCTAATTGTCTATTGAAATATATTAGTTTGTGCACACATTTTCACTGGGAAGACAATAGACTTCATTTTACATGTAATAAACAGTAAAAAACTCATATTTATAGCAAAAGCATATTTTAAAATATTTTGTTTACAAATTTCTCTTTATTTTTGGAAAGATTTACATTTTTTAAACAAAATGTTCTTTTGGAGTATTATCATATCTTGCAAGATTATCAGATACTGTTTTGTAATAGGAAAGCTTTCTAAAAAGGAAAACATTAAATAATGACTTCTTGTTTGCAAACTTTTTCAAAAATTTCTTTGGGCCAAAATATGTGTATGTCCTGTCTTTTACAAGTGTATGCCTGGAAAATAGTTTGTAAACACAAGATAATCTTCCTTGAAAAAAAAACAAAACCCAACAAAAATCCAAACCAAAACCAGACATCCATTTGAAATTAAAGTTATCACAAAAGAAATGCAGAACATGTGTTAAGAGGGTCCTGTTTCTACCAGTTTAGTGGAAGTTAATCCCTTGTAAAAGTGGGGTTAGAGTGCTTCCAGAGTGCATCAGACAGGATGTGCATTTAAACATGTGCTGGGGCTGTTCACTTAGACATCATCACCATTGTGGGTACATCAAAGTTGTGATTCCACATGTCATAGTTCTGTGCTCTGTACTTTATAGGAAGAGCATGTTGTTTAAATAAGCAAGTTTGATATGATAATACCTATAACAAAACAGTATTTGATGTGTCTCAGCAATTTTCTTTGTGTAGAAGAATAAAGAAGAATAGAACAAGTGAAAGCCTTTTAAGCTGTTGATGGAGAAACCTGAGTCAAATTGTTCAAAGCTGCCTGTTGGAACAATGCTTGCATAATGATTATGGATTAGGAAAGAAGCACTCATTGGGGTTATAGAAGGGCAAATATTTTATCGCTCTGTCTGCAGCAACAGTAGGCTCACAGACAGAGAAGGCCTGGCTCTGCATAGATTTGTTTTGTGAGCTTTACTTTGTTATTGCTCACCTCAAGTAACAGTAGAATGATCCATAAAAACATTGGCCAAGATGAAAGCTAGATTTCCTGAAAGCTCTGTTTTATTTCTTAAAGTATAAAAGCAGAAATCTAAATAGTAGTTTTTAAATGAGTAAATTTATTTTCAAAAATGTATTTTAAAAACCATAACATCTAGGAAAGGTCAGCAGAAATAGTGGGGCTTTGACATTATGTAATGGATGACTGTCACAAGTATCTGTTCTCATCTTTTTTTCTAACTTTTTTGAAATGAGATCTTCTAAATTCAAACATTTATTTGTGTCTGCCTACATGACAGATGTGCTGATGTGTCTGTAAAGAGTGAAAAGATAATACATGCTGGCTTATAAAAGTCTTTATGCCACAGTTGCCATAAACAATAATCCAGCCTGCATAATCTTTTACAAACCTCATAGAAAGTGTACATCTTTTTTTCTTCCATAAGCTGAACTTCATATATTCAGGTTGTTAAGTCATTTACAGGCTATATGCTTGTGTTTGCCTTTCTCATGTAAATGTTCCATCTATAATATATATATATATTATATAACATATATTTCATATTTGAGATGCCCAGAAGGTTAAATATGAGCCTGTTCCACCTGCTTCTGCATTTACATGGTTCTCCACAGGTTTTATTCTCATTCAGAACCTGCACATCTTTCAGCTAGCACAACACATACCCTCAGAGTTTAAAAGCAATTTTAAAGCAAATTTTAGCCCATTTTTACAACAAGATTCAAATTAAATGCTTTATACAGACTAAGAAGATCTTAGCTTTGTTTTTATGTGTGTTATTCAACTTTAAATTCTGGAATCTTGAGGATTTTGGTTTATAGATGTGTTTGTGTGTATGTGTTTATACATGCACATCTACTAACAAGGCATTCAAGGAATTAAAGGCAAGAGTGGAACTAAGAACTTTCTGGAAAAGGAGTGACTTTGGAGAACAAATTTTACCTAACAGAATTCTTGCTATTGTTTGCATGTGTCAAGAGTGTCTGAAATACATGTTACATATGATAGTTCACTTTGATATGAGTCATTAATGGCTAGATGGTAGGCTAAATAATGCGTTAAGTAAATTGTACTATTCTTTGAGTATATATTTTGTGTGCACCTATGTGAAAAAAAGGGAATTTGATTCCATAATTTAGGGTTTTTTTTAAAAAGTCATATATATAACCTGAAATGGTTTTTTTAACTTTAGCTAAATTTTAATACGGAGTATAATTATTAACATTTAATTTTTAATTTTTTAAAATAAGTTAAATCCTCACCAGTGTTGTAATTCCATTTTGAAAATAACAATTGTTTACTATTGTTATAAACAGGTCTTACTATATATTTTGTGAGAAGCCTTCATAACCTAAGTTTGTCTTTGGTTAAGATAGTACTTGGCAAAGTCTATGAAAAATGGAGGCACAAATCACTTGAGTGTGATTTCATAACTATACAGTTAATTTTTGGGTCAATGCTCTCAAGTTCCCTTTGCTATGAACAAAATGAAAAGTTGTAAGTAGTTATGTAGGATCAAATCTTTGATTTATGCTGATGTTGTAGTTATAATCAACAAATTCAGAGATAAAGGGAATGAAGCTTTAATCTTTTAACCTCAAGTTTTTTGAGTCACTAAATAAATAGAATACTTAAAAGGCTGCTCAATTATTTTTCTTAAACTTTTATTCATTGTATTTTAATCCATTAATTTTCTGTGTTGTGTGATACTTACAGTCACTATTTGTGTAACAGATACCTGATTTGTGAAATACGTGAAAGAAACATGAATCATCATTTTATTATGGGGTGAAGCAACTGTGCTGAAAAGGAAATGCAAGACGTATATTCTCTGATATCACA